TAAACCAACAATGGTATGAAATAGACCTACATGATTTATATTTAGACCTTGAAAGAATAGAATTATATGATTTAGAAATAGATTCAAATTAAAATGAACTACTAATATTTACAATATTGGACAGAAGCTATGGAAAATATAAAACTACTAGAACAATTAATGGAGAATAATTTACATATGTACCTAAGAACCCAAGATATGTTATATCTAGAATACATCATAAATAATTTTAAAGAAATATCAAGATTAAAACCTTTAGCCAAAGAATATTATAATAAAACCTTTAGCTAAAATTAATATAAGAACAAATAAATTCTGCACCCCCAAAAATTGGTATCCCATTGTAACTCCACAAGTAGATGTACTTTAGTTTTGGTGACTTAAAAGGAAGTGAAAGGTAGCATTATTATTCTTATCAGATTCATTTCAATTGTATAATATAGTTACAAAAGTAGTGTGTTTTTTCTAATAAAAATATACTAGAGGATAGTGCATCAAGTATAGAAATTTGGTATTAAAGGTGCCAATGACAAGGTTCAATGGTTTTTATGAGACGCTTGGGCTTAGCTCGACTTAGCTCCACTTGCCTCGGCTCGGTTTCAATAAAAAAAAATTTGGCTACTTTAATAACATTTGTTGACAATTCGGACATTTAGCCATGAATTCCACAATATCTCTTCATCACATTCCACTAATAGACTTCCCGCAAATCATGGAACATCTTGGTGACTCTCGAGTGAATAGAATACCGAGAACTATGAGCTTATGTCAGAATCAGATTTCTCAATTCATCAACATTTGGGAATACATAGTTGACCTTGATATCAAAGAACACCATATGGAGGCCTTGGAAAAGACTAAAATAGCCCTGACTTAAAAATCTGACGGAACTGTTGTATTTAGGCCTTCACAGACTGTTTACCACTTCATGATCCATGAAGGTGGTCATGAAAATAGGGGCCACCCTGAACGGTCCCCTGTACAGATCATTAACCCTCCACAGACCATTCAGGCAACCATGGAGGGTTCACGGTTGGGCTAAGGTTCGTGAACCTGCCCGTTAACCTGCCTTACACTTTTCAACCAAACTCATCAAATTCTAAGGTGTTGTTACACATAAGCTCTTTGAGGAGTCATATCCTGAAAATGACCGAACAAGATTTAGGAGAAGGATATTTACAAAGATAGACTCTATGAAACGACTTTAGAGTAATGAAGGAACTGAAGTTTTCAAAATGCTTTGTAGCCTCCTATTCATAAATGTGGTGCGCTTCACACTCATGAACAAGATCTACTTAACACGGCTTATCACACATCCTAGGACCTTTTCTAAAACCTTCTGCTCTGAATATCAAGTTTGTCACAACCTAAAGTATACCATAGACGTGACATGATGTATAAGATCCCGAGAGGCCCTACACAAGACACTTGACATGCATACAAAAAAATATGATAGAAAATATGAGAAATAAAGGTAACAAGTCCCATATCAATAAAAAAGTTTTGACATAAAGCAAAAGTCTATAATAGTCTTGACAAGCCATCTAGTACATCGATGAAGTGGTTGGGACGTAACCCGTACACCATGTACAACATTCAAAAAGTAAAAACATATTAAAGCAATGTGACATGGTCCTCAGAATATAATTACTCATAAAGTGTTCTAGTCCTTAGAGTGGTTGACTAGCCACGAACGGGAGGAGAGGAAGTGTCACACCCAACATTAATGAAATATTGTAGGCACAAATATGCATTAGTACATAGAATGTACCAAGTATGACGGATATTCATGAAAACATGAAACATGATCATAATGGACATAATTGAAAACATGATATGCATGACCAAGCTAAGTATAAAAACATTATAAATCTTGAACATGGCCAATGTATCTTAAAATCATTAGAAAAGCTTCATAAAATTCTTTAAGGACAACTTAGTTCATTTCGTGGGATATTAGCTTTAACCGATAATAGACCATATGAGCCATAACATAGAATCTGATGTATCTCCCACATCGAGAAGGGAGAGTCTCCTTTACCAAGATAGAACTCTGTATCATATCATATGGTATATGTAGATCCACTAGGTAGGTCATTTAAGACAATCCTACGGGGGCACATAGTTTGAAACTAGAGGTTTCTACTAGAGACTACCCTATTTGAGCCTCCATCTCAAAGTTCTCTTGATGCTTAGTTAAATTCCAACGGAATTTAACTATAGATTCACATTAGTTAAAGGTTTTCTCACCTATATTTGAATTGTGTTTTAAGGAGCTATTATATGTTTTGATTTTTAAGATGTAGATTGGTGTTGATCATTGCCTTTCCTATGTTAATGATAATTGATTTTATCTATTCCGTTGGAATTTTGACGTAGCACTAAGAGGACTTTGACATGGAGGCTCAAATAGGGTAGTCTCTTGTAGAAACCTCTAGTCTCAAACTAAGTGCCTCCGTAGGATTTTAAGAACCAGACAGTGTTTCTCTAAGAAATTGAGTTTAAAGATAGCTGAAAAAAGAAACTAGGGTTAAACATCTGGAGGTGTTTAGACCAAGGTTTGTACGATGTTGGATAATCTAAAGAATGAGACACATACACCAGTATAAGGTGAGAACATTGTAGCATGTGTTGCATACCACGTATGTCAAGCGATCAATGGGTCAGTGAAAGAATGGTCCTTGTTTCTTCATTGTTTGAGACCCCGAAAAGTTAAAATGACTTCTCAACAAAATACCCTTTGACCTTTTACTATTTCTTGAAGTTTCGATTAATGTTTCTACTTTAGCATGTTACTAATAGGCATGAGTGATTCGATGATTCGGTGCATATCCAGGAAAGTATTTGGTTTGAAACATATAGATTCGAGAAGAAAGGACAGGTGATTAATTGAAAAACAAACATGTATACACAAGTCGACTATTGCACTAACCATATTGATATTGAATGTAATTGTGTGTATAAAGTTAAATGTGGACTCGAGTTAACCTCTTTAAGAGGATGAGGATCAAATAAGTAACTACTGAAGTAGTGAATGAAAACTGGGGTATTGTGAGTAATAGTGTCCTTAAAATTGTAGTGAATTCTTTCCACATGTGATTGGATTCCTATGTAGGGATTGTAAAACCTTAAAGGTAAGCTCTTCATGCTCACAGGTCGCACGAACTATTTGTCGTATGAATTGTGTGTCTGATTAATGTTGTGTTGGCTTGGGTCATGTCCACCATGTACGAAATGGAGATGTAAGTTTTTGGTCGTGAGTCACCCATGTGGACGACCCAACTCGACCCGATTTTGTCCGACCCAATCCATTTTTGTCCTATTCAATTTAATTAATTAATTAATTAAATAAATGGATAATCCTATTTAAAGGATAAGAGACTGTTCAACCTCCCCTTAAAAGGCTCCTAGTGGTAGTAATTTTTTTTCAGACGTGCGAATGTAAAAAAAAGAATGGAAGAACGTGAGAAAGGCAAAAACAGTAAATAAACAGAAAGGAATTTTTTTACACAAATCAATCTACACACTAAGAAGAATCTTAGTTTGTGAACAAGAACGATCTTGGTTTCCTTGTGATTCAAAGAGAGATCTGGATCAATTCCTTTCGACAGCAAAATCAACAACAAATATTTCCGCTGCAAATTATAATGTACACATCTTGTTGTTGTTTTTCTATTAATATTCCATCAGTTGATGATGATGATATGATGATATATGATTTAGTGTTATACTCTTGTTGGCATTTCTTTGGATAATAATTGTACTAGTCTTTGGATATCACAATATTTTTAAATGATATATAAATTTTGCTAATGAATGTTGTATAGTATTTTGTATATGTGGGATTTACGGTGTGAGGCTCATATTCTCTGTTTGTGAAGCTTTATAATTTTTGTTGTGAGGGGCACGACCGATTGAGTAAGATCTGTTATGTATTTGATTTTTTGTCTCGGAAACAAATTGCTAGTCATTAATCTTCTCCTTGTGGATACAACTTCAAGTGATAGCTTCTGCCACACATTTTTATCCTTAAATCTGCCTCAATTTCGATATCATATATCATTATTTGAACATTGTAATACTTGGAGATCATGTGCTTAATTTACACGGTACGCGGATTTTCAAGGGCCCGAGCTCCCTGTTTTCTGATAGAAAGAGAAAACTGTAGCCCCGAACCGAAAGGTGGGAGTCTCAATCTAACTGGGATCAGCCTGTGATAACTCATTGTCGAAAACTAGATGTTAGAATTAGTGAGTTGTAATTAGTTATAGTTAGTTAGAGTTAGTTAAGTTGTTACAGAAAAGTAGTTAGTTATTTTCATGCTTTTCATACATGTATAAATACAGATTAATGTAAAGCTCATACATTCAGTTTTAGTGAAATACAATTCACATATCTTCCATTTCATCTTCTCTCTAGAATGTTCCATTTCTCTTCACTAAACTCAAGCTCTATTAATGGAGGATTTTAGTTTTACTGCTTCCAGTTTCAACATGGTATCAGAGCCCTGGACTGGGCGATTCTCATGCCGCATTTGATTCTGTTATGTGAGTGTTGAATTGATTTCGATTTCACTGCATTCATCTGTTTTTTTTATTTCTAAGTTGTATTGAAATTTTGATCTCGATTTCACTACATTCATTTGTTTCTGATTTGTGAACTGCATTGAGATTTTTCTTTCATTCCTTTGGTCCTATTTTTCGAATTGATTTTGTATCTAGAATTTGTTCCCTGTTTCGAGCTTTCTTTTTCCTTTGATGGTTGATGCACAAGATATCCCTACTGTTGCTCCTACTACAATGGACATTGCTAGTCCATTTTATCTACATCCATTAGAAAATGCAGGATCTACATTGTTACCTGTTGTTTTTGATGGAACTGGCTACAAATCTTGAAGAAGAGTTGTACTAAGGGCAAAGCAAAACAGGTTTCATTAACGAGAAGATTGTGAACCAGCTTCTACAGATCTAACTTTTGCACATTGGGAAAGATGTGATGATATGGTAACTTATTGGATCCTCAATTCTCTTTCACCAAACTTGAGAGATGGACTGCAATATGTAAATAATGCTAAAGAACTTTGGGAAGAATTAGAGGATCGTTATGACCAAACGAATGGCTGTAAGTTGTACCAAATCCAGAAGGAGATCAATGACCTGGTAAAAGGAAATCTAGACATCACTGGCTACTATACAAAGATGAAGAAATTATGGGAGGAAATGAACACCATTGACATTGCATCTCAATGCTCTTGTGTGTACACTTGTAGTGGAAAGACCAAGATGTACAAGGTTGAACAAGACACGAGACTCATACATTTCTTAATGGGGTTGAATGAGGTGTATACTGCTATGAGAGGGAACATTCTAATGATGGATGTTCTACCTACCATGGCACAAGCTTTTGCTATTTTGTGTCAAGAGGAGAAGCAAAGGGAGATGAAGCCTCATAACTCCACTGCCCTAGATTCCACATCTCTTGTTGCATATTCTTCAACACACACTAGAAAGGGTTTTAAGACCAACTACAATTCAAACAGAGGAAGTACAAGTAACTCTGGCAATTCTAATTTTAGGGCAAGTTCCAGCAGTGTAAATGCTTACTCACAAACCAGACCTCAATTGTTTTGTGACTACTGCAAGAGGTCTGATCACACCAAAGATAGGTGCTACAAACTTCATGGCTATCCAACAAGTTCCAAGTTTTCAAAAGGAAAGGGTTCAGCTTCAGCAGCTAATGCATACACTTCTGAGGAAGGGAACAACCAAGTTGAGGGAAATCATGAGCAGAGAAGACAAATGCCACTGAACTTGTCTAAGAGTCAATACGAACAGTTACTCAATCTCTTGGGAACTCTACAAGTTGGAAACACTGATGCTGACAATTCAGATAATATGCTAAGTGGAGCTGTGAACTTGGCAGGTATACTTGCTTGTTATTCCTCAATGAATGAGATAGGTGACCTATCATGTAGTTGTGATAAATTGACCATTGGTTCTTGGATCATAGACTTAGGAGCCTCACACCATATGACCTATAATAAACTTTCCCTAAAGAACATTAGACCACTACCATATCCCTTCCTGATCACCTTACCAAATGGATACAAGGTCAAAGTGAATGAAATTGGAGATTTTTTTTTTGAATCCCCTTTTAACTCTGCATAAAGTAATGTTTGTACCTAGCTTCAAATTCAATTTAATATCTGTCCATTGTTTAGCATTACAACTCAGGGGTACATTCAGTTTTAATAGTTCCTCTTGTTCTTTGCAGGGTCCTTCTCTGAAGAGCCCTCTGGAGCTTGGTAGAGCTAAGAATGGTCTATATTTTTTGTGCACCAAGTGCCATAATTTACCTGTCCACTCAAATGGCAATAGTTCATCTCACATTACTTGCCACTCTTCTATCTGCAAACCTGTTCCTTTTGTACTTAGTGATAATAAACTTTTAGTTAAAAGTGAATGTGAAACTTCACACCCATCCATTGTAAGAAGTTCTTTTTTGTCAAATAAAGAACTAACTCTGCAGTTATTCCTTGTTCTTCTTGTTCCTTTACTGCTAATTCTTGCACTTCAAATTCCTTGTCTGCATCTCATGATCATACTGCTGAATTCCTATGGCATGCTAGACTAGGACATGTGCCTTTTCTACAAATGAGAAGCATATCCACCATACCTGTAACCTTTTCCAGTAAACAACCTTTCACATGTACCATATGCCCTATGGCAAGACAAACTAGAATGCCCTTCCCAGAAAGTACCGATACAACCAGTCAACTATTTGAGTTACTACACATTGATCTATGGGACCATATCACATACCTACTTATGATGCTTATAATTACTTTCTAACTATGGTAGATGATTATAGTAGGTCAACCTGGACACAATTGCTTAGATGCAAAAGCAATGCATTACAAGTTGTGAAAGCCTTCATATGTCTAATAGAAAATCAATTCCATACCAAACTAAAATCCATTAGGTCTGATAATGGGTTGGAGTTCACCAATGGTGAGGCAACAAAGTACTTCCAGGAAAAAGGACTAATACACCAAAAGTCGTGTCCTTACACACCCCAACAAAATGGGGTGGTAGAAAGAAAACACAAACACCTCTTAGAGACAGCAAGTGCACTTCTATGCCATTCAAAAATACCCATAAGATACTGGGGAGAATGCATCTTAACTGTTACTTACCTTATTAACAGACTACCCACAAAATCCTACACAATAAATCAACATATGAACAATTGTACCACAAATAGCCCACATACTCTCATCTTAGAAGTTTTGGATGCCTATGTTTTCCCACCACCTTAAAAACTCATAAAGACAAATTTGAGCCAAGGGCTGCGCCACATGTTTTTGTTGGATATCCTTTTGGCAAGTGACAATGACACAAGAGTTTGAAGCACTCTATGCTAATGACACATGGGAACTGGTCCCCTTACCAGCAGGCAAACATGCAATTGGATGCAAATGGGTGTACAAAATTAAGCATAAAGTAGATGGCAGTGTAGAAAGGTTCAAAGACAGACTGGTAGTGAAAGGGTATACACAACAAGCTGGAATTGACTATACTGAGACTTTTTCACCTGTAGTAAAGATGACTACTGTGAGGACTTTGATATGTTTGGCTGTGAAGAAGGGATGGAATATGTATCAGTTGGATGTGAACAATGTTTTCCTCCATGGTGACCTATATGAGGAAGTGTACATGACACTACCCAAGGGTCTTCTGGTAGATGAAAACAATTTGGTGTGCAGACTCAAGAAGTCTTTATATGGCTTGAAGCAGGCAAGTAGGCAATGGTATGACAAATTGGCCAGCAACCTTTTCTCAAAGGGATACACACACTCAAACTGTGATTACTCATTGTTTTACAAGAGAAATGGATGTTCTTTGGTGTTTGTTATTGTTTATGTGGATGATATAATTTTAACAGGAACTGACTTGGAGGAGATCACCTCTCTAAAGACTTTCCTACATGATCAATTTAAGATTAAGGACCTTGGGAGGCTACACTATTTCTTGGGACTGGAAATATTATTTAGACAAGATGATGTTCTCATTTCCCAGAGAAAGTTTACGGCTGGCCTTCTAAAAGAGTTTGATGTTATGAACTACAAAGTGACTACTTCACCACTTGACTCTGCTGAGAAGCTCACAGTTACTGATGGCAAATTACTATCAGATTCTACTCACTATAGGAAGCTCATTGGTAAGCTCAACTTCCTCACAAACACAAGAATGGACATAGCATTCACTGTACAACATCTCAGCCAGTTTATGCAGTCACCTAGAGATACACACTTGAAGGCTGCCTATCATGTACTTAGGTATCTAAAACAAGATCCTACTTTGGGGATTTTCATTTCAAACAAACCAAAGTTCACTGTTAGTGCTTATAGTGACTCAGACTAGGCTTCTTGTCCTGATTCAAGGAGATCACTTAGTGGATACTTGGTACTTATGGGAGACTGCCCTATCAGTTGGAAGTCTAAAAAGCAGGCCACTGTGTCATTATCCTCTGCAGAGGAAGAGTACAAAGCTTTGAGACAAGTTGTACGGGAACTAGTATGGCTTGAAAGATTACTTGCTAAACTGCTGGTACATAGCTCTTTACCCATACATGTGTTTTGTGACAGCCAGGCAGCAGTTCACATTGCCAAAAATCCAGTTTTTCACGAAAGAACAAAGCACATAGAAGTGGATTGTCATTTTGTTAGGGACAAACTTCAACAAGGGTTGATTACACTTCATCACATTTCTACAAATTCACAATTGGCAGATGTATTCACCAAGACCTTGACTGGAGTTAAACACTCAACACTTCTGAACAAGTTGTCTGTGATTACTTCACCTCCAACTTGAGGGGGGTGTTAGAATTAGTGAGTTGTAATTAGTTATAGTTAGTTAGAGTTAGTTAAGTTGTTACAGAAAAGTAGTTAGTTATTTTCATGCTTTTCATACATGTATAAATACAGATTAATGTAAAGCTCATACATTCAGTTTTAGTGAAATACAATTCACTTATCTTCCATTTCATCTTCTCAGATCTCTAGAATGTTCCATTTCTCTTCACTAAACTCAAGCTCCATTAATGGAGGATTTTAGTTCTGCGGCTTCCAGTTTCAACACTAGAAATGATCAGAACGCAATACAATCTCTGTTGGGTAATATATACATTATATTCTTGTTTATCTAACAACTCATCTTTACCAAATACAACACTAGTATTCTTCTATCTCAAAACAATGTTACAAAAAGGTTGACATGGTGATGCCTCAATTTGATATAATGGGCTTTAAGACTTGTGTAAAAAGACCATTATTCATCAGAATTCAAAAGGATAAACCTCTTGGAACATTTTTTGTTTCTCGGAATACATACAAAAGGGGAGGCTTCTTATTATTATACCCCCATTTATTTATGAAAGCACATACAAATAGAATGATAAAAGATTAGTGTTTGTTTAATTACATTATCATGTTACTCGACTTTGGTGGTCTGTCACAATTTGCAGAGGTCCAACCTATTGCTTGCTTCTCATTGTCATAGATCACCATTTTATCTTGCATTGATATATCTGGAAACAGGTAATTCATTCGATTAGTCTAATGATTTTCCATTGGAATAGATTAAATTAACTTGAATAGATTCAACCATTTTACATCTCATATATACATACCTCCAATAAGGTTGACATTTTGCAGACCAGCTTCAGTACCATTTAGAACTCCCAAGCAGACACTGCCCTTTGACTGCAAAACAAGTTAGTTAGTATGTTCATCATATAGAGGATATATTGTAAAATAAAGAATGTTGAAAATCTTACTGAGATAATAAGATATGATTCAGGGGGGATTTCAAAATGAGCTTTGGATTTCCATCCATTGCCAAAGCTAAGTGCAAACTGCTTGAAGTATTTCTTCACATCATTTATGGTTTTGAAAGGTCTCCTGCCCTTCCAGCATAATGGGAGTGTATAATCATCCTTTGTTTCTCTTAGTGGCTTCCCATTCAATTCTTTCTTCAACTGTCAATACAAGTGAAGCTACAATAAGTTACAATACACAGATTCCGTAAACTTAATTAATTACATGTTGTACAACTTACTAGTGAAATGAAACCTTCGTATGTATGTGCGTTTAGGTAACTGAAGGAACTTCCACTGTCAAAGACTACAAAAAGATTCTTCAATCCTGTGCCTTTTCCCCCAAATATGAGTTCTCCAGATCCTGCTGAATAGTGCTTCCTGTCATGCAGTACTGATTAGAGAGGATAATTTAGAAAGACAAAGTTTGCTGTTGGGATTTGAGTGCATTACATGCGATCATGTGCCATAGGAGTCCAGACTATGCGTGAGGAATCATAAACCTCATCTCCAAAGAAGAGAAAGCCTCCTCCTCTACCACTCAAGCAATGACCTACCACATTTTGCACCACACCCTTGCTGTGAAGCTGAGACACAATGCTGGTTTTTCCTCTCCCAAGACCAAGCACTCCATCCAAAGGATGATAAGATTGACCAGGTAACTGATCATATCCACACCTACAAAGTTACAAGAAAAATAAAACTGAAATCCTTTTGATACGATAGTTTCTCGACTAAACTATATGATAGAATAGAGTTATTTCTCCTATCAAGGAAGCTTTAGAATCAGCTGAAGGAACAAATTTACCTATATCAACATTTACGAAGTATTGTGAAGGAGGGAATTGTTAGGACCTTCTTTAAACAATTAAGAATTAAAATTTACAAAACAATTGTGAGGTCATGTAGGATTACCTATTCAAAACAGCAAATCAGATGTTCAGTCGGCCTTCCAAACATTAACTACAGTGAATAGGGGTGTGAGCTTTTCTCTGTATTTCTTTTTTTTTAATTCCTTTTTCCTATCTGCAGAATATTTCTTTTAGTTCTGCTTATGATGTCGATTAGGAGGAAGATGATATATTCAATAACACTGTGATGCATATTTCTACTGAGAATATGTCATTCTTAAATGTCCAACTATATCAATCATAATCTTCTACATATATGTGAAGCTATTGAAAGTTGTTTCTTTTCTCTTTTTTTTTTTTGTATTTACTGTTCTATCTTTTGTCAATGGAGCCTCATAATTCTTCATTTAGTAGCATAGGACAACAGTCTTAACAAACTTTGAATGCAAGTATTGCCAAAAGGACATTACAGCATATGTTTTTTCATACAAGCAAGACACATAAAAAGAAAGAATACAGGATGAGAGAGGATAAAGATTGCTAACCCTAAAGACAAACGAGGTATCATCCGAGCACCACTG